TGTTTGCCTTCTGGTTAACGAGTTCTTGTTTGTTTCATGTAATTGAATTTTTTTAATTGGCCTTGTTTGTTTTGTTTCTCATGTTGTGTGCCCCATCCTGGGATCTATTAAAATTAAATACAGGCATGCATGCCCACCCTTTTTTTGCCCTAACTCACCTTTATTCTTGTGATGTTAAGAATGCAGTATGAGAGAGGAGCATCCTGAAGTGCATAGTACACTGTGTGAATGCAACCCAGTTGCACAAGAAGGATGGCTTATGCTGTTTTAAGACTGACTCTTAATGAAACACACGTTTCCCAAATCATGTACCATTTTTAAAGCAAAGTGGTAATAATGAGCGGATGGAACATGAATTAGAAAAGGTATTCTCCATGGAAACCTACCATTCAAGCGCAGGAAAATTGAATTCTTCCTGTTTGTGTTGCACATGACTGGGTTGTATCTGTCTGCTGCCCATGATGAATGCCTGCAATCAGCTCTTCATAAGGCTGCCCTTGGGGCTTTTCTGAAGCTTCAGCCAGCGCAAGATGCGGTGGCCCATGTCCTGATGAGAGAGGACTGGCAGGAACAAGTAAGACCTGTTATGCAGCAACTGCACTGGCTTGCTCTTCAGCCTGCAGGCACAGAATCAAGGGGTTATTGATCTGCAATGGGAAACTCAGAAATTGCCCTTCTCCAGAAGCAGCTTTCCCCAATGTAAATTTTTCCAGGAGGACCTGCTTCAGGTTCTATCTAGAGCAGCCTACTTCACCCTGATGCTCTTCAGATACTTTGAACTATAATTCTAACATTCCTGAGCATTGGCTAAGCTGGCTGGGGCTGATGGGAACTGAAGTCTGGAAGGGTTGGAGGGCACCAGCTTGGGGTAGCCCATTTTACTGTATGAAGCAGTCATCTTTTTAGCAGTCATACTCTTACAGAATTCCAGAAATGCCAGTGCGTCAAGATTTTGCATTCTTTTCTATTCTCAATCTTTTCCAACTGTGGTTCCCCAGATGTTGTCGGACTGCATCTCCCATCATCCCTGACCATTGGCTATGCTGAGACTCAGGGTTAAAACCTTCCATTCCCTACCTTTTGTAATGAAGCAGAAAAAAACTTGTCTTTCACATGCTTTACTGCATCATCAATTGGAACTATTTAGGGTTGGCTTTTTGCACTTTTTCTCTCTGTATTGGCTGCTTTGCATATAATATGAGAAGAGTAGGGTATTAAATGCAACCTTTATTATGAATTGGGCGACTTGAATGCTCTGCCGTGAATACTTTTTTATAAGATGTCTTTATGAACAAGGGTCACTTGGAAAGTCATTATTAGTGTTTGCCAAATCTTTAATCACCACTTCAATAGCCAACAAGCAACGGTCTTTACAGAGTCCTAATGCTCATTTTGCAGGGAGTGCAGTTCAATTTAATGGTAGCTTTGGTGCCAGTGGGACCTCAAAAAAAAAAAAAAAATCCTGCAATTACTGGCACAGCCGTTATCCTCAATCAGAGTTGACTGTGTTCTTCACAATTCATGAATGTATATTACTAAATTAATTCCTGCCTTCTTGGGCCCCTGCTGTTCAAAAATAATTGTTTCAATAATAAAGAGTTATGATCTGATAGCTACAGCTGCATCAAAGCAGCAGATCAGATAATAGCTAGGTCACTCTTCTCCCTAGGCAATGGATTCCTGCCAAAAATATAGTGTGTTGTATCAATATAGCAGGAGATGCTTTCCCATCTAGAGGTAGCTAAATTTTTCATGAGACTTTGGGCAATTTGCCTAATAAAAACAGTGCTGTTTCACAAGCCTGCATGCAGAAATAAAAACAGTGTTCAGCAAAAGCAATGAAGGAGGATGTCACAAATGAGCAGGTCATGGTGGGGATGGGTGGGGGTAATGCTCAGATGACTTGTGACTGCTGATCAGTCAGGCTTTGGCTGCTGAGTGCCAAAATGGCAGCGCTGGTTTAAGCAAGAAACTTCATCATTTCATTTCATATTTAAGAAAAAGAGCAGCTGTCTTGCATATTTGGTTTGGAAACCTAAGACTGGGTGGACCAGATTAGGACTGCCAGATTTTGAAAGCTCAGTCCCCATGAACAATCATTTCCTACAAGAATTTGTCATCAGTTTCTAAATAGAAGTAGGTTATACTAATGGTTTATCCCCATGTTCCGCTTCAGCCTTGGAAACCCATCTGAACTGCCTGAATTCCTTGGCTTCTCAATAAAGACCTGGCATTGTGCTTTTTCAGTTCTAACAAATGCAATATACAAATACAGACCCTTCTATCCAAGGCTGAAGCTCTGGGCACACTAATTTAGAAGCAAGCCCCACTGCAAGCAAGTCTATTTGTTTTCTTGCAGCTTGTGCATGTCCAGTTTTTGCTCACTGATTCTAAGTGGGTACCTCCATAGTTCTTGCAATGAAAAAAATGAATCCCAACAACCTTTCCCTGCAAAGCATTTTATAACCTCCTCCGGGGAACCTTGTGTTGTATATATTTTTTGATTCCCAGCAAAACGTGAGTCATATTTTCCATTCTGTTGCAGAGTAATTTGTGAGCCTTTTGTGAGGAAATATCTAGCAGCTTGTAAATAATTGCACTGACAAGGAAGGGTGGTCTGCTAAACAGATCATTCCCAATTTTGCAGGCAGAGAGACAGGAATCCTGCTGTCGTGTATGTATGCAACCCTCATTCTTCAGATTTGTCCCAGGACAGAACTGTTCTGAAAGCCTAGAAGGCAAGCCTGCCCACAGGGTCGGGAGAGAACCTACCTGCTTGTATTTAGGTGAACTAGTCAAAAGGGTGGTGGTTTTTGGGGACTTATTTGCAAGGGCAGTGTTTATGCAATGTGAGTGGTGACATAAATTACCTTGCACTAGTGTAAGCAACCTCTAGCACAACACCAATAGTATTATGTTAGCACCACAGGTTTTCTGAGGACTCCTCTTGCACAGCAAATGCTATTGCCCTCGCACGAGAAGTTACCTGTGTTTGTGCAATGTGGTTTACATCAGAGCTAATGTCAAATAAGATACTGCTGAAGACTTGTGTAACATTAAAAAAAAATCTAATCCAGTGTTTTGGCACCATATGAGGCAGTGGTGGTCTAGGATAAAATCTCTAATATACTGACAGCTTTGCCATTCTAATCAAAGCCATGCTTCTTTGGCATCAAAGGCCAGCTTGTGACTTCCAGCCAGAGTTGCTATTTTGCTTTAAGTCTGATCTGTCTTCTTTCCTGTTTTGAGAAGCTGGAAGTTGCATGCTGTCATCTGAAGCAAGGCTGCAGAATATCTTAGCCCAAAGGCCGAATTCCATCTCGGATATGGTCTCCAGGGCCACTTTCCTTTGGTGGACAGGGCTGAAGACAAAAGGGCCCAACTAGTGGAAATAGCTTCTTTTCACTTAAAGCCCTACTGCTAACTAAGCCTTTGGAGAAGTTTTTCAGCCTTTCAGAATGGGGAAAAATGCATGCAAGCTAAAAAAAAATCACAACAATATTAGTTGGAGGAAAGGGGCATCTCTTTTTGAGGGGTGGGGAGAGGGCAGTGTTTGGCCCCTAGGCCTGAGGTTCTACAAGCCTGATCTAAAGGGGATATTGGAGAGGGGGTCAGTTAACCTCTTTTTACTGATGTCACTGGCATGGTCCATCTGGCCAGGATCTGGGTCCAAAAAGAGGAATGGACACTTAGATTGTAAGCTTCCTGTGAGCTGGGGTCTGTGCTTCCCATTTAACTCCATTAAGTGCCATGTACATTTTAAATTTATTTATTTAAAACAGAAATGTTTTAAATAAATAAAAGGAAAGCTGCTGTTTTAAACATACTATAAAGCTAATGAGAGATCAGGAATTACCATTTCAGGGTAATCAAACATTTGAAGCCACAATGATTCTACATTATATAAAAAAGGAAAAGTTTTCTAAATCTAATGGAAGGATAAGAGACTTGCTACTATTACCTATCAGAATCACAATTTTCTTTCCCCTGTTGTCAGTCTGAAAAAGATTTCTGTGTAACCTTGAAGCTTAAATACAGTATTTTCTTTTGGCCACACTCTATCCATGGTCACCGGGAAGAAGTTTGTTCCATGAAACTCAGTAGGACTTTAATAGGAACTGCACTCGCTACCTCACACCATTTTCATTAGTGGAACATACTACTACTTTGAGTATTGTGTAACCAGGTGCCTTGTCATAACCAACAAACAGAAAATTATTTCCAGTCTTCTTCCAATATCTATAAACCATTCAAAAATTATAGTGCCATCCCTTGCATCTTTATTCAGTGCTTGCCCCCACTGAGTGTGTAGGATTGCAGCCTTCATATTTTAGGGCACCAGCCTATGCATATTTAAGACAGAAAACAGTCCTACCACACCCAGCTTGTTGAGGAATCCTGGAGGTTTTCGGACTTTAGGTTTTAATGCCTTTAGACTGCAATCGTGCAACCATTTATCTCAGAATTTATCTTGCTAGTTGCCTGTTTCTAGATTATCTGAAAACATGAACAGTATCATCCAGACTATATCAGATCCCCTTTAAAATAGTTATTTCATCAATACATCAAGTTATCTCTTGGAGATGCAGCTAATATCCATAAGTTATTTTCTAGGGTTATTCATGGTTAACAACCCATAGTTAAACCACAGTGCAGGGTTCAGATTTAAAGACAACCCATACTCTAGGCTGTGTGAACTATGTGGTGAATTCACTGGTGGCTTTGCCTCATGGAAGAAAATGCTTCTGCTCATGCAGGTTGAACACCTGAGTTTTGTCAGTCTTCCAGAACTATCACAGCCTCTATACTCCCAGCTGTTCTGAAATTCCCCCCAATTCTCAGGAGTAGCTTTGCAGGGACTTCAGTGAACAGGCAGAATTCAGGAAGATCAATGGGACTAAGGCAAGGGTGCTTATTTTTGGCTTATCTTACGAGAATCAAAGGCAATTATCTGAAGACATGTTCTTGCTTTCCCTCCTTTTCTTAACATATGTCTGCAGGCTTGTTAATTGGTTCTGGCTGTGCTCTGTATCCACTGGGCTGGGACAGTGAAGAAGTCAGGCAGACCTGTGGTAACCTCTCCAATCAATTTGAACTGGGTAAGTGGCCATCAGTGGCGGGTGACCTTCAGCTACAAGCACATGGATCTTCCACAGTTCTGCAGAATTCTAAGATTCTGGAAACATTTTTGCAGTGGAGATGGAGCACGCACCCAGACCATTATGCCTGCATAAAGCTTTCCCAAAGACCTAGATTTCTATATAGCCTTTTGTGCCTTTGGTCTGCTGCACCAGTTTCATTTAAACCCTTTACAGCATGAGTGTTTGTAGCTCTTTAAATGGCACATTTTAATCATGTTAGGAAGTTGATTACCATTTGGTCACTTGTGGGGATGCTAACCAGAAATGGAAGAAAAGCATGTCCTCCACACCCACTCAGGCAGGTAACACATGCTCCTTCTGCAAGGCTGAAGCTTGTTCCCAGGTCCATATTGAATGAAAAGATGCAAGTGCAACCTAAATAAGGAAATGGAAATTGAACACCCTCAAAAGAACTATTCCAAATAATTTGTCCAGACCTTCTGAAGAGGTGCCTTAAACTAAGGCCCATGTACTTTGAGGCAAAACACCTGTGTGTGGTAGAGATTAAAGGTGCAGTCCTATGCATATTTAGACAAAAAAAAGCTGCATTTCCTAGCATTCAGCCTTTTCTGACTAAACATGCAATATAATGGCTGTCCTAAGGTCCCAATGTCAGGACACAGCAGGAACGCTGGAGACAGCTCGTTTCTCCTGCCAGTTCCTTACTAGATCAAGCGCTGGCTTTTGTATCTGCTCCTCATCCTGAAAACCCTTCTGCCCTTTCCAAAGCAGGCTAATTCTCACACTCTGACTCAGGTACTGTACTAGGTTACCTTGAAATTTGTGGCAATGCTCTAAACCTAAATTAGGAGAAGACAATTTATAAAAACAAGGGTACTTCCCATTAGGGGAAAAAACATGGTAAAGGAAGATCATCTCTGATGATATTGTCCTTGTGTGTGTTACTTTGTTTACCTGCAGGCACCTGTGAAATTGGCTGGGCTTACTACTGCACTGGAGGCGGAGCTGCTGCAGCCATGCTGATTTGTACCTGGCTGGCCTGTTTCTCCGGCAAAAAACAAAAGCAGTATCCTTACTGAGGCCAGAAAGACCCTGAACAAAGTGAACCATTTTGGGGGGAGGGCGGGGTCCAAAAAATGAGTATGTATGCCTTTCCTGGAAGGGTACTGTATCTCTTCATTGTGCTAGGTCAACCCCAACAAGAGTCAATGAAGATGGATGTGTGATGCTGTGAATACTGGGTGTTCTTTTTCTCTTAGGGATGTAAGCCAAGAATCCTGTGGGGCTTAGGGTTTAACAACGTTATACCAAGCCTATTGTGGAATAGCAAAACTACAAGTATCCATTATCTGGGAGGGGGAAACGAATGGCAACTGTCAGTTGAAAAGGGCAGGAAAATTCCCTGCAGGAGGACAAGGATTCTGTCACATGTGAGCAAACTGGACTTAAAGAGGGCATTTCTTTGCTGTTGGGTTACTCCCTTGGATGTGAATAGTTGCGGATCTTCCTAAAGTAGCAGCTGCAGCAGCTGCCCTGTGTGTGAGAGAGTACCTATTTCAAGGCCTTAAGAGTATTAGCCATTAGAGGCTCCCCAACCTGTTTGGAGTTTGATTTAGTGAACTTGAGCGTGAAAGAAGCGAAAGTTCTCTTTTACAAGACTCCTGAAAGCACATCTGCTTACCTTTGCACAGACACTTTTCTACATACAGACACACAGCAAACGGTCACCTCAAAGATGCATTTGTTCAAAAATGTACCAGCCTCCAAACAGCTTAACAGGCCTGTCTGTGTGCCAGAGTGTAGCCTGAGAAGTTTGCCGAGCAGGACATTGTTAATTGGGCAAACGGCCAAAACTGGCATTGTCTTTCCACTTCACCTGTAAAGCACAGAGCTCCACATCCGTCTTTTTTTCTCTCTTTGCAAATGCAGACACCCAACACACCTTCCTTTTAGACTTGTTCAGCAGCTAGGATCCATCTACACCTTACAAACACACCAAGGTCATGAAAGCCCAACGAGGGGCAGGGGCGGTCTTGAAAAGCTACTTTTGGTTGAGCAACTGGCAGTGGGAAAATGGCAGGCAGGGAAAGAGTTCAGGATTGTGCCACCTCACCTCACCATTCCTAAGTGCCCCCCTGACAAAAAAGGTTTTCCAACCAAAAAACAGGAGTGGTGCTACCTTATACACATTGGTGTGAAATGTGCACATTAGGGCTGCCTTACTCTTTCTTCACATGCTATATCACATTCATGCCACATACCTTTTTTTTCATTCACAGATGAAAATGTATGTACATCTTTTTCCCATGTATACAGGCAATCCCTCCCTCCGAACACCTGCTTTTGGCACAATGCACACACACATCTCCACCTCCTTCCCCTTCAGGCATGTTTTATTTTACTGTCTCTTCCCTGCTCCACCAATTCAGGCTCCTCTGTCCCCTTTCCATCCCAAGCAGGGGTGGGGAACCTCAGGGCGGGGAGGCCAGTGGCCTTCACATGATCACAGCCCCACCTTTTTTCTCCAGGCCACTAATCCTTTGGTGATATCCTGGCTTTTGGGTAGTTCCCCCCATTCTAGAAAGCTGAGATGTCTCTCCTACAGCTTATTTATAAGCAGTAAGAACTTGAAGCTGCAATAATAATAATAATAATAATAATAATAATAATAATAATAATAATGGACTGGTATTTTATTACAATCAATAGTGTAATTTTGGTCCTGCTGCTTTGCCACCCACAACATGGCCCCCAGGACCTTCTCCAGCATTTTCTGAAAGAGGTTCCTCACTCATGCTCAGGAGGATGCAGAGACAAATACATTCTGCTTCACATTCCCTTCCTTCCTCCACAGGGGGTCTTCAAAGATTTCACCCAAAGCAGCCACAGAGGAAATGCAAGTAACTCCCTTTCTCCTTAGCTACTTCTAAATCTTCCATGAGGGAGAGAGATGTGCATTGTCCACAAGTTAATGCTCTCTTTTGCATGCACACCTTATCATTATACAAGTCCAAGAAAAGGCAACAAAGGACATGTCATTCCTGGTTATTCAGTCCATTTTGTTTATTTGAGACCACTACAACTCCCATTTATTCTATTAATGCTGCAGGTGATAGCAACTCATACATGTGGAGCAGAGCAGTTGCAATGAATACTGTGCAATTTTTTTTTCATTTTTCCTAGATTATTTTAATTTCAGTATTATGCTACATTTTAAACTAAACACCTAATGGACTAATGGGCCATTTTTTCCAGTATTTTATATAATCCATGTACATGTGTTCTCAAGTTTTATTAACAGCCTTTTCAGACATATATAATTTTATATTAACCTCAATGTTTTCAGGATAATTACAAAAATGCAATACTTTACTCAGCATATGTAGCCTAGATAGCATATTCCTTTGAAGAGCAGTAAAAGGACAGTTCTGTCCAATTGTGTGTGTCTGGCACAGTAGACTATTACTACTTATGCAAGAGCAATGACAAACATCTTCCAAGTTTTGTTACTAATACCGTTAGGTAATTATTGTTGTATTGTGCTGCATTATTTTAATATTCATCTTTGTAATGTAATATAAAATGTACTATGTTTGTACTTTAGAATCTGTGTAAATAAATGTCTTATCTATGCTACATCCACTGTATTATTCTCTTTTCTTTATTACCCATGGCTTAATCCTTTCCCTAATGTGAGCTGTCTTCAGTGTGGGAAGGCTACAGGGGAGCGGAGAGGCTGCCAAGCTGGATGAAGGCAGGTGGGTAGGGAAGGAGAGAACACAACTGGCTTGTGTCCTTGTAGAAACAAGGAAGAGTTCACTATTTGTGCTTTATTGCAGTTTTCTCTCACTTCCCAGACAATTATCTCCCAGACAAATAAATAAGATACAGAGACTACCTTCAGGCTTCCAAACTGAAAAGGCAAGGAAGATCTGTTCTGCAAGGCTATGAGCTATATGTAGAAATTTAAGAACATCTCAGCCAGGCTGATCTTCCCTTGTTGGTCCTCTTGCTTGAATCACACTCTTGAAACTCAACCAATGGATGGGACCAAAGCATTCTTTCCCCAGACTTCTGCAGGCCGAAGCTCTTCTCTGGATGAGCCTTGCTGGCCACTCCTTTAGCTTGATGTTATCACCGCAGCTTCCCAGTGGGCCTAGGTCCACCTCCCCCAGCAGGTAACACAGACAAGAGTTGCATATGCCTTCTGGCCTCAAACATCCTGGAATCTGGGACAACACAGTGGAGAATGCAGGTACTATTCCTTGACCATGGGGGCATGGAAGCAACTGTAGGGGCTGGGCAGCGATAAAGTGGAACTGACTGCTACTGCCCACTCCGAATGTAATTGTGGAAGTGGGAATTGGATCCAGAAAACGTGCTTTTGAAAGAGTCACTTTTACATTCAAAAACATTTAATAGCATGGTTCCAGTCTGAACCTTTTTCCCCTGGGGAGTCATATTCCTTAGCTTTCTTCCATCTCTCTCTCCAGTTTAATGTCAAGCTCCTTTTCCGAGGGGAACTAAAATGAACACGAGTGGGGAATCTGCCACAAAGTGTGGCTGAACCTCTTCCTCTCTACCAATAGGAGAATTTTTACCAGCTTTTTCATGTTTCAGCTTTAGGCAGAGATGGCTCCTTGTAGTTTTAGAGTCATAGAGACATTTGGCTGATTCTAAGGTGCTTTTGCGAGCCGAGTAGTTGAGCCACAACACCCCAGGAGTTCCTCTGGAGTTTAGAGCTTTTGAGGGCAGAACTACTGACAGCAAATTGCTGCACTGAACTTGGCTGGCCTGTGAAGGACCAGGTGGACGTTTACTTCTGCTGCAGTTACAGCCAGACATCCTTTCCCAACAACACAATTCTCTCTTGTTCGAAGGGCAGCCTAGCTCATGGATATGAAGCCTAACCCTCTGGTGTTCCCTAGACAACCAGGCTCCAGTCCCTTCAGCCTGAATGCTAATAGTTTGGTAGTTTCCTGGCTCTTTTTTCCTTTCTAAAAATATGATTTACCTCTCCAGAGGCTTAGTTATCAGCAATAGTAGCACAAGGATTTGCTATTATTTTTATTATAGGTGATAGAAGAATAGGGATGTAAGTAACATCATGGATCTTTTTAAAACTTGCCCAGGAAAAATGTTATATTTTAGTTTATCTTGCTTTTCTTCCTTTTGCTCTTCAATGTGTGGTTTAGGGTTTTGTTTTTGTTGGGTTTTTTTTTGGTAAAACACAATACAAAATAAATAATTTGAGAATAGCTTTAAATAAAAAATGTGCTGCTTGTTTGGCCCCCTTAAATGTAAGAGCTCAAGATAAAATCAACAGAGTTTATAACAAAGCCCACAAAGTGAACAGAGAGGTCTACTTTGTACTGAAAGAAGTACTTTTGCTGATATCCAAATCTCCATTTTTCTATGACAATAGGACATACAGTCAGTGCCATTGTGTAGGAGCATAAATATGGATTCCCAACCAAAGGGTTCCTTTTACAACAGCTTTTGTTTGGGGGGGGGGAATCACAAACCCCCTCACAAGACTAATCAGCTCCCTAGAACAAATATAACAGGCTGTGTCTTAAAATGATGTGAAAGGACATTTTAAAATCTGCATGACGACAACAGGATAAGCCAAGACTCCTTGCTCTCTAAGCTAAATGGAAAATGTAACATTTCTGGCCTGTTCAAGAAGACGCATTACATGTGAACAATTTCAGCTAGGATTTCGAGAAAGGCTTCCAGTGAAATGTCTCCTTCCTACTTCCTTTTCCCTCCACATCTGTTAGCCTACCCAAGTCCAACATTTTTCCTCACAGGCTCATCACTATTTATCTCCGACTTGCCTCCTAAAAGTTCTTCCACTGATATGTGACCGCCCCCCCCCTCCTTAGAAACTGCTAGCACCAGTGCTTTTTTTGTCATAGAACACACCAGAACGGAGTTCCAGCACCTTTTTTTGATGGATTTTCCAAGTTTTAAATGTAACTTTTGAAAATTTGATGTTTGGTCCATGTGGATTTGAATCGCCCTGTCGAGCACAGCAGGTTGGCGGCAAAATCATTAAAATGGTGCATGTGGGCTGCTTGTGTGTAGAATCCAATGCATGTATACTTCGTCCGCGCTGGTTGTGATGGCGCTGCTCGGCTTGTGATTGGTCGTGTGGTCATGCGCTGAGTGCTTACTGCAGGCAGCAACCATTATGTTTCGTTACACAACTGACGTGTGTGGGTGTGTGTACAGTGATTGACTATGTACAAAAGGTAAATTTCTTTATTTTAAAAAAAGTTGGTGAATTGAAAATCTTTTTTTAATTTTTGTGTAACCCCAATACACTAGTGTGACCCCAAATTTAAAAATGAAAAAAATTACTAATTACCAATTAGAAAAAAATTACTAATTACCGGTCCTGCTAATAAAAAGGCCAGAATATTAACAGACACAACGACAGAACACATAGATACTAACAGCAGGGAAAGGAGTTGAGAAGGGGTGTGTGTGTGTGTGTGTGTGTGTGTGTGTGTGTAAATAAATAAAAGATTAACAAGATGTGAGTTCCGGCACCATTTTTCTTACCAAAAAAAAAAAAAGCACTGGCTAGCACTTTGAGTTGGAGCCAGAGACAACAAGAAACGCTTCCCTTCCTCGGAGATCAGTGCGATTTAAGTTAGTCAGGACCAACATGTCCCAACCCAGTAAGCATCAAGGAAGATCCTGCATTTGATTGCTTGCTTCAGAGAATCATTGTTTTGCCAAGTGATCCCATAGGTTATGTGGGGCTGAGCTCTCCACCTAAAACATCCCTGAAAAGATTCACCCAATCTTTTCTTGTTCTTTTCTTTTTTTATCTTGGTTGGGGCCACTACAAACATTTGGCAGAAAATCTGGATTTGCTATGAAGTATGTAGAAGAGAAACTGCTATCAGCCCTGTGCCTGCATTGCACTCAGACATTTTAAGATGTCGTCTTAGAAAGCATCAGAGTTGGAATCCAATGTCCTGCGACTGGACCTTTGCTTCAGGAGACTGAACCAGCAATCTTCCACCAATTTCATTTGGAGGGTACCCCAGAGGCTATTTATTTGTATAATTTCCATAGTGCCCCAGAGCTGAAGCTCTGTGGCCATTTTACAACAACCTATTCAAAATACATGGCGTTAGATTGAGAGTGCGCAGAGGGAAAAAGGATTAACTCCAGTCCTGGTTCTGCTGAGGAAAATAGTGAAAGTGCTTCATTGGGTTTCAGTTAAACCGAATATATGAAGCAACCCTCAACTAGCAACTTTTCAAACAGGACCTTTCTCTTTCAGTTTGTGAGGCACCAAATATTGTTGGTGATTTATAACTGACTCAAAGTGATTGGAAAATTTATTGGTTTAAAGCACTATAATTATCTTTTTACAAGCTTCAACAAAGTACTGATTGACAGAAAGATAGGAATTTTGCGGAATCTGCTAGGTTATGAATATATATGTTATATTTGTGTAAAATCCCTTGGCATTCTTATTTCTCTTTTCCATTTTTCTCTTTTCTGTATTCTGTTTCTTTTAAGAAAGCAATAAGAATTATTTCTAAAAAACAAATTGTGTCTAGTGCTGCAATAATAATTATATTATTAAAATTATTAATAATAAAAATTCCATGGAACTAGAGGAAAAATAATTAAGATTCTGTAACGCAGCAGCACAATGTAATGAACAGAAATGCATAGTGGCAAACAAGATCCCTACCACAAATTTGTGATAGTTGCAGCATGAGAGCTTGCTTTTGGTGGAATGTGAACCTGAATTTCTTGGTCATTCTCTAAACTCTCAAGAGGCTGACTAGTCCTGACAGACAGACATTTTAAAATAATACTATTATTCATATACAGTGGTATATAAACATACAAAAATATAATAGAAAATACCTGATCCGATTTTAACCAGACTCAAAAGGTCAGCAGGGGAAGGGCTGATGTGCTTGAGAAGAAAGTTTCAAAGCAGTGAGGCCGCCACTAAGAAGGTCCTGCTTTTTGAGGAAGCTGGGCTGGCCTTCCTGGGGCAGGGCCATGTCAGAAGATCATAAGTGCTCTAATAGAATAGATGTTCCAAGAGAAAATCAGAGCCAGGAGGTCTGTAGCACAGTTGTTCCTGCTGCCTTTACATACAGACCAGACTGGTCCGTTTTTGCCATTCATAGGAGTGAAGCAGTGAGGCTTCTTAACTGGGCCAAAAGCAGCTATATACATGCACAAAATTCTGATAACATGAAGTGGCAAAATAAAATGGCTCATGGAGATGAACTAGTCAAGTATTCCTTGGGGGAAGTGGAGTCATCGGGATGGAAAACCATGTCAGAGTAAACAATGCTGATATAATTAAACACAGTTAAAATGAAACAAACAATTGCCAAAAATTAAGTCCCTGAGATATGCACAGAAAGTGAAACTAATGTGCGCTCCAAGTTCAGAAAGTTAATTTCTGTGTTACACAGTCAACAGCAATCTGGCAATAAGAAGAAGATTTCCAGAAGGTGCACAGTATGAAAGACCGCTAGTCTAAAGGCACAAACTTCTGGACTTGCTGGGCCCCAATCTCTGCCACATATATTGCTCCAGTTTTCATGCTGACATCCAGAAGGTGGGGTTTGACTTCATCGGCAAGTTGAATTGTGTCCACCACAACACAGTCCCCAATTGCCCCTACTGGGGGGGCAGCTAAAATTAACACTCGGCTGATATTTATTTGTGCTACGATCATATACTTCTCATCTGGAGTTAACCTACCAGAGGAAGAAAAGGAAAGGGAAAGAGAGGTGAGCTGTTTAAAGAAAAAAAATGATCCAAAGATTGTGTCATTTGGACAGACCGCACTTCTGGTCAGACTGGCACCACCCACTCATTTGCAAACCCATATGAAAAGCTGCCCTGGCAACCCCCAGCTGATCCTAACAGTAGGATCTGGAAACAGTTTTCACCAGGGGTTGGAAGTGGGATTCTAAGGGGATATACTTCCTTCCCATCCTCTGGTGAACTGTCAGTATATTATATTGGTTGGAGAGGTGCTTTGAACCCAACTCAGCATTCCTAACTGGCATTGCAGGGGGTATTTATTTTAAACCACACTTAGTATCTGACTACCCAGTTTAAAATTTATGGCCAAATCACTACAGGATACAACCCACCCCAAACCTGAATTTATTCACATTATATGCCATTGAATTGTCTCCAGCTAACGATGACCCAATGAATGAATGCCCTCCAAAAGAGTCTGTTCTTGACAGACCTGCTTGGCTCCTGCAAACAAATACTCTCATTAATCTTCTGATAAAAGGAAAGGAAAGACCACCCCAGTGTGGCTGTTTTATTCGCACGCTTCCAGAGCAATGTGGGATTACACTACAGGGAAGCAATTCCCAGGCTGCTGTGGGTGCAACTAAATGGAACCAAAGCCATGCTCAAATGTGGACATTTTGGCTTCAAAGCCAATAGATCCTAAGGTGCTCCGTGGTTCTCAGAATCCTTGAGCTTCCAGTGGAGGCACCCACTATCAGTGGAGAGAGATCATTTTCACCAATTCCCTGTTCTGTCTGTAGTCCCAAGGTGCCAGCTTCTACATAATAATGGAGCCCCATCCAGCTCTCTGGAATAGATTTTCTGGAATGGGGGGTGAGGTAAAGAAATGACTTTTCACCTTTCCACTTGGAGGTATTAGGATCAGTTTGCCTAATAACACTGTTTCCATGAGTGTAATTCCACTAGGAGGATCCTTGGATTCAGCTCAAATGCCATTCAAAAGTCAGGCATCAAAGCTTAACTTCATTCATTCATTCATTCATTCTATTTTTATACTACCACGTAACCTGAAAAGGGACTGCAGGTGGCGCAGTAGTTTAAACTGCTGTGCTGCTGGGCTGGTTGATCGAAAAGTCACCGGTTCGAATCTGCACAACAGAGTTCCTGTTGCTCCATCCCAGCTCCTGCCAACCTTGCAGTTCAAAAGCATGCAAATGCAAGTAGATAAAAAGGTACCACTTCGGTGGGCAGGTAACAGCGTTCTGTGCACTTTGGTGTTTAGTCATGCCGGCCACATGGCCATGGAGACTTTCTGCGGACAAACACTGGCTCCCTCAGCAAGGAAACGGAGATGTGCACCGCCCCCTAAAGTCAGGCATGACTGGATGTAACATCAAGGGGAAACCTTTACCTTTACCTTTAACCTGAAAGTTCTCTTCTATTGTGAAAAGATGCCACAGAAAAAGTTGCTTGGTGGCTCAAATAAAGTGTATTAGTTATAAAAACACAAATGTGCAAAATATTTTGGTGGACCACATGGGATGAATTTCCTTCCCTTTGGAGTCCAATACAGTAAGACTTTTGATAGAAACATAGAAACAGAGCGAGTGAGAAGGGGCCTCCCGGGCCATCTAGTCTGACCTCTGGCACCAGCTGGCTCCACTCACAACATGCCAACCATGTGCAAGTCCAGCCTATCCTTGAACACCCGCACCGATGGGGCCTCAACGACCTCTTGTGGAAGCCCATTCCACACCCTCGGGGTCCTGAC